TTGCAACTTTTCGAAATTCGAGATGAATACGCTCTTCTAAAAATCAGTACAAGACATGTAAGATACAAATTAATTCTTGAATGCAGTTTCAAAATTCTTACATTAAAGCGTAACTCGTTTGCTCTTTTGAGATGTACAACATATAAATTAATTATCGACTTCATAACCAAACAAGCTTGCACCACGTCAGTTAGGTTAGGTTGAACAAGGACTTTCGTAACCTCAAAAGGATTCTCAAATACATTTTTCGAAATCCTTACATTAAAGTGTAATTTTACTTTGCTGTTTTGAAAATAAAACATAAGGTGTACAACATATAAATTAATTATTTACATCATAACCAAATAAACTTGCACCACGTCAGTTAGGTTAGGTTGAACAAGGACTTTCATAACCTCAAAAGGATTCTCAAATACATTTTTCAAAATCCTTACATTAAAGTGTAATTTTACTTTGCTGTTTTGAAAATAAAACATAAGGTGTACAACATATAAATTAATTATTTACATCATAACCAAATAAACTTGCACCACGTCAGTTAGGTTAGGTTGAACAAGGACTCTCCTAACCTCAAAAGGATTCTCGAATACATTTTTCAAAATCCTTACATTAAAGTGTAACTTTACTTACAGTAAAGTGTTGCTGCCTTGAAAATCAAACATGAGATGTAAAATATAAATTAATTATCTACATCATAACCAAATAAGCTTGCACCACGTCAGTTAGATTAGATTGAACAAGGACTTTCCTAACCTCAAAAGGCTAACCTAACCTCAAAAGGCTAACCTAACCTTAAAAGGCTATCCTAACCTCAAAAAGAAGACCAAAGCTTGCACTACTACTTTGTGGCAGTTGTAAGTCCAAGGAAGAGTTATAAATTCGTCATGGAAATGACAATAGCGATTAATTCGTAGTACCATAACGCATCGCCGTTTTCCGTCCGATTTATTGGCTAATCCGATATTTATTGGACGCGGGGCCAATTTCCAATTTACGCAGCGGTTAACTGGCACGGTCAGCGCCGGCACGTTAACCGTGCACGGCCAACTACACCCCACCAGCAGGCTTAACGTTATATCCGGTTTAATTGGATCAGGATTAAATTAACTTCCGTGCCGGTGATGGAACTTTAACGCTGGGATTCCTCGGGATTTGCGTCCCCCGTGCAGCCCTTGTCCTAACCGTCTATCGATTTTCATCCCCCACTTTCCGCCACGTTTGTTTGCCGATTTTGATAACCGATTCCCCGCGACTACCATAATTTTGTCCACCATTGTGGAACTCCGGCATTGTTCTTCTCTTCTTCGCTGTGGACAACCTTTTGTTTCAACGGGCAGATTTATTCGCCGAAAGTATGTTCATTACTTACGCTGATAATGCGTTCGTTTGACAAATTACCACGGTAGATAATTTCGTTTGGATAAATGCGTATCGTACATCGAAACGCAGGTTCATTACGATAACTCTTATTAAAAATATCCGGGCAATGGACTGTTATTGCATTATGGGAGGTTGAGGTGTCAAGTGAAGATTGAAGTTAAAAACTTGAGAATTTAGAAATTACAAATTTGAGAATTTGGAAATTACAAACTTGTGAATTCGTAACTAGAAATTTAGAAGTGACAGCTGAACCGTGAGCGGTGTCACCGACCCTAAACACCGTCGTTCAAAAGATTATGCGGCACGCGTGGTAATTAAACCCGCTAATCGCGTTACCCTCGGTTATTAATCTCGCCTCGTGCGGTAGCTTTCTGTAACGACTTCCGATCGAAACGTTAATCGATCAAATTAAATACCAAAGGTATCGGGATTTGCCGAGGCCTCCACAGAGATAGTCAACCACATCTCCTAGCGTTCGTGTGCATATCCACTACTTATTTTAGAATTATGTCAATAAATTGTATTAGAATGTCTCTCCAAATGACTTACTCTCTGTCACAATCATCCTCTGTTACATTAAAAATAATTATTTTCATTCTACATCCACTTTAACATAATCATGCAACCTAAGACTCTTCATACATAAACCTCATCTCATATTTTCCGTGGTAAACTTGTAATACCTTTGAAACGATCTTGAGTACGATTTTAAAAGCAGAAACGATTGCATATCTGAAAGGTACACTCACGAACGGTCAGTAGCCCGTATATCCTCGTATAATTAAAGTAGTTCTTGCGCGAGAGTTAATATCGCGAATGATCCGTCTGGCAGCGAGCGATCCCGTTGCATGAACCCTCTCGCAAAAAGCGGCACGATAAACGGGGAGAACGGAAGCAAGCGGCAAATAATTAACCGTGTAAAAAACGGAAGACAAGGGTGGAACAGGGTTGATTCGGGAACGCGAAGGAGGAAAAAGCGTGCTTGGTTCACCGAGGGAAAAGGGAGCACGCGAACGTGACAACAAAAACTGGACGAGTTATCGAATGAACGTGTTTCCTTCGGCTAACTGGGCCGCAACCGGGTCGACAACAGGGATTAACTGTTTTGTCTCTGGTCTCGTTCGATCGTGAACTACTTTTCCGGGACGAAGATGTGGCACGCGTCTACCGTTGTGCACGCTTCTCGATGATGAAAGCCCGGATTGAAATGCGCGGATGACCCGTGCAACTTTTAGGTCAAACTCTGCGTCGCCAAGCAATTACGGAGATAACGAACTGCATTCAAGCCGGCTCTATTAAAAGTATAAAGACTAGTTTAATTCAATGGACCCGGAAAAGGAAGCTCCTCTTTTTTAAAGCGGCACTGCGCAGTTGGCGCATGGAAATATGACTCGTGTCTCTTTAACGCCGTAAGGTCACGCTGCCAATTTAACCCGAACGAAAAGGGAACTTTCGGATCAAAAATTTTACCGATAGGCAGTTAATTTTTACCTAGAATCTTGAAGAGTTCATCGAACTTCCGCAAAGGAGCTGTACCGGTTGTTTTCCAAACTAATTGTTTTCTTTCCAACGAGTCGGAACGCCGTGAGATATTGGTTCACCGTGTCAACCGCTTCTTCCATCTAGATTTTTCGTTGTTTACATCCGCGCCAACCGCGGAGCTTCCTTCTGACCTCGATATCCTTTGGACGTTTTCCTTCAGACTTATTTCAAAACTTTAGTTTATTCGGGATCTCCGAATAATCCGTTGGAACTTGATAACAACATGAAAAATTGCACGCTACTTCCTCTCCGTGGCGAGCGTATTTATATCCTGCAAACTTTTCCTTCGTAAACCTCCTTTTTCCGAGATATTACGTAATCAACTTAAATGGTGGTCTGCGAGAGTATTAGTCTACGTGCATTACGTGGTACGTTATAATTATTTACACAAACTTATATTTACAGACTGTAGCTTCTTGCTAGGTTTAAGATTTTTTAAGTTCTACTGCAAAGCACTCTGAACAATTTGTCAGAGATGTTCAACCACCCCTTAAATTTTTCAGAGACACGTGTATTAAAATCAAAATTGTATTAAATATAATTTAACATAATTTAATACAAATATATTAAATATTGAATATAATTTAATACAATTTGTATTAAATGTAATATTTAATAGTTATACAATAATAATAATATTATTAAAGATGGTAACATCTTTGAACCTAAGCTTGCTTCAGGACTCTTGCAAGAAAGCATCAATATTGATAAAAAATATAACAGTATAAATCCACTGTCTAGCCGTAAAATGATCGCCAGCGAAGCAGAAAAATTCGCCAACTCGATTCACCCTGGTGGTACTAATTTCGATAAGTCACCCCGTTTGATTCATCGTTGAAAATGTTCGGTGGGCCGATATCGAACACGGTCGGTCGAAGAAGTACACGAGGATGAAGGAAAGAAAGAACGTAAGAAAAGAAAAATCGAGGGGGTGGGAAAGCAGCGCGTTACCGGTGTGTCTATACCACGTAGAAGAAAATTGGTCCCGTGATAAAAGCCACGGCAAAGGGGTAAAAAAAGCGGGGCACTTTCGGTCCTCCCCTCTTTTCTGACCGACTTATCTCCGCTCACGTAACCATTGAGGAAGCATTACGATTGAAAAGGCGGCGGCTATCGCTGACCGTAAGCTCTTTTTCACTCGCGAAACGATCGCCGACGTGACCGAGCGGCTAAAATCGTTTCTTGCGATAGAAACGAGCCCTGGACAACGTATGACGCGGTCGATTATCGCCGATTTACTCCTAACGCGATGAGCAACTGCCCTGATAACCCGATTTCGACATCATTAATTTTTCAACAAATAAATTTATAAATTTAACACTGTGATGTTCTGTATCTCCAAATTTTTACACTTGAATATTCAACACTGCAAACTTCTAAGTTCGTAAAACCTCTCGGAATCCTCGACGCTATTTCCTTGGGTCAAATGAACAAACGGGCTTTTGAAGGAAAGAAAAGGTTGCTTCAGAAGTAATTGTTAGTTCGTTCGTTAATGAACGTTTGCTCGCCTGGTAGCTAATTAAGGCACTTTCATTGCCCGATGATTCAGCAGTTGGGTAATCAACTGTTCTTTGGTTAGTGTTTGATCCAGTTGCCTTGAGAATTTATTTGCTGGCATGTTCGTTTGTTTCTGACAACTTCAGAAGGCGTCTAATATCTAATTTTAACAGGTATTTTACCGTGTCATTTTAAAACTCGACAAATTTTTTTGCTTCTACGAAAAAACCTTGTGTCACTGCAGAACTATCTATGCAACTTTTACAGCGAGCATTTTTATGAAATTTTAATTACAGCAGAAATCCAAGCGTGATAAAGTTAGTATAACGAGGTACTAACAGAAATTACAGTAATAATATTGAAACAAATTACAACGTTTCAAAATACAACGTTCAAAATCAAAATACGACGTTTCATCAAAATACCAATTTACCGAAGTTTTATCATCCGTAAGAGTTTATACAGAATCGTGAAATAACAGAAAAGAAAGAATAAAATACCGCGGCCATATTGAAACGACAGTAGCAGAGCAAAAAAAGGACGTACCTAACTAAAGCCCCTTCTATCTTCTTTTGTTTCAGGAATTGGAGAGGAGTTATACCCTCTCGACCCCAGGGGGTAGCAGCCCCGTTTGTTGCCCGCCATGCAGCCCACCCCCGGCTCCGGCCGCATACATATCGAGCGCACGTGCGTCCTCGCGAAGACTCGGGGCAGGAAGTGGAATCGGTGGGCCACCGTCGCCGGAAAGAGATCCCCTGGGAAGACTGCTAAGGTCAGTTCCATCGTCCTTCTTTCGCGATGGTTATCGTTTACAACCTCCTTCTAGTCACTGAAACGTGAAAAATCTTCCCCTTATCAACGATTCCATTTCCCGGTTTATTCGATGCACGTTCGAATAGGCTGTTACCAATGCAACTATATCGATTGTTCTACGTCGAATTATGCGGGGATATTTTGATAATCTTCTGGAACAAATGGCACTTGTGATATATTAATTTGTTGCTTGCAATTGAACATCTGGTCTTAATGAATTAATCGTAATAACTGATAACTGTAATAACTAATAGATTTACTAAAATTCAATTAGACTTATTCTTCGACTCGCAAATCAGCGTCCATGAAATTCCGAGCCGTGGCTCATTGGTAAACACAAGGTTAAACCATGAAATCAGCGTTCGATCGTAGAGTGTAAAGCTAATCATGTAGAAGTCGTAAAGCTCCAGCCTCACCCTTCAGGCTCAACCCTTTCCACGCTCGATCGCCTGCATTCCTCCGAGTTAAAGTCATCAATCTTCCGCGCAACGTGCGACGAATGCATCGTCACGATACAGCCACTTGACTATGGTTTCGTCGCTCGGGGAAATTAGGCTCGTTGATTTTTAAAGTCCACGAATTAATTGGGATTTTAGTGGCATAAAAAAGTTCCGCAAGAAAATGTGCTTTTAGAAACCTTTCGTCGGCTCGAGTTTAAATTGGGGCTGAACGAGTTCGCGGAGCTCGTTCTTACGGTCGTTTGTCGCGATGACTTCGATCGATTGGCAAATTTATGAAACTTTCCTGCCCGAACTTTCGTCCAACGTGACGTGGAAGTTTCAAAGGAAATGCTTTTTTAATTCGATGGAGTTTTTTGTCATCGATAGCAAGATTGTATGAAAAATGTTGATCAACTATTGTAGCACAACTACTTAAGAGTTCGATTAGCGGCTTAAGATAATTGAGCAAGTTCGAGGAATCCGCAAAGTCGTGGTTAAACCGGAAACTTGACTGCTTTCAGATTCCTGAAGACCTTCTACAGGGAGCTAGGCACTCGTGATCCACCCCATTTGCCGGCATGGGCGTCGCCGCTTCCACTTGGCACCCTTTGTCCAGCACACTTTCAACCCCACCTGCAACTGCTCCACAAAGGCGAGCAGGAACACAGACTGGAGAACATCAAGACCGACCAGATCTTCGCTCCTGTCAGGGTGAGCACTATAAATCATCCTTTGGAAACTGCTTCCGACGTTCTACCTTGTTGATGTTGCTGCTAAAACTTTTCCGACTGAGGGACTGTTACGAAATGTCTAACAAAAATCTCCATAGTCTACATTCCTTTTGTTCTCACACGAAATCTTTCTCGGTAATCAACGCGTGGAAATACGTGCGGCGATACAACGCGAGATAATCGAGCATTCACCGTCCTTGAATTTCAAGCGCTTAGAAATAATGCGACCACTAATTTCTTCGGTCCTTTGTCCCGAAATTCCACTATCGTATACAAAAAGAGGTTACAGAGAAATTCAGCCGAAGAGAAACGAACCTTTGGCCGAAGATAAAGCAAAGACGGGTTGTACTCTGTGGATTTCTCGAATTCACTTGGAACCGCTGTTCCGTTTGTCGATGTTTGTTCCCATGAAAGATGAATTCTCTCCGGGCAAAGTCGACGAATCACGTAGGAAGTTTCGATACGCCTCGCTTTCTGATCAAGGGAATTCTTTAGCAATCGAACGGAGAGCTTCTCGAGAGGTACCAGCTTTTCTCTAAACGGAATTTGGTAGTCGAGTATTCTTCGATTCGGTACGCTGTCGAGAACACCGCGACTTTATCGATATATTTGATGCTTTACATGAAACGATTTCGGAGTGGAATACTTCAGCGGTTGGATAAACGTGTTTTATGCTGTCGTTTCTCGTTTCAAGCGTCGCTCAACAATTTTTGGATATGGATGCATTTTATGAAGATACAATCGTTAATATTTCAAGAATCAAGTATCACTTTTTCGCGTAAAACATGTAGAGTCGTTTCAATTATTTTTACCGCTCTTAAAAACAACTTAAAGCTCTAGAAACAACTTACTAAAGCTTGTATGATTTCTAGATTTCATATCGAAATACTCATATACTTATATTAGAATAGCATTCACTTTGTAAAATTTAAGATGAAAGTGATAGCAGAGCGCGCGAGTACTTGCGAGAAAGCAATCGACGATGTCCCTCTGGCAGCAACCGCCGGAACAGAGCTGAAAGGCGATGACGGCCGACCCTCGTCGATGTCGCCGTTTCCGATAATATCTTGGAGTGTCGCCGCGGGAGCATAACTCTTTCGGTGGTTCGAATAAAGAAGCTTTTAATCGCGGCAGAAAGATGCGAACGACGATCAAGAAACGAACGAGACCGCCGTTCTGCATCGCGTAACGAGGCATTGTTCTGTCGTGGCTCGATAAGATGGCCGCGTTCGCTTCGTTAACGTTTCTCGAAAGCCTTTTTTACGCCCGGCGACGCTGATAACTTCTGGCAGAATGCTCGACGAGCAGCCTTTACCCTTTTGTTCCTCCAAGGACTCTCAGAAATCGAGCTCTCAGGTGAATGAGCTGCTTTAATTGCGTCGGATTTCTTATACGTCCCATTCGTTTCTCGTTTTGTTCGAACATTTGACGAGGAGAAGAATATTGGATACATTTGTTGCAGTAAGAGTCCTTCGTGAGAATTAAAATTTTAATTATTGATATAGTTTGTATAGTCCTAAACATGAAATTCATCTGTCAAACATTTCTGAAATTAGTGTCTGAGGCATCTTACGTGAAGCATCCTGTATCATCGATTTCCGCGTCTCTCGTCACACCTAATATTTCTGTGACACATCAGCCACATGTTCCGACCTTTCCTGCCGAGAAATCGAAACGGATGGGACTCAGTCGAGTACGTGTATCTGGCAGATAAGGAGATTTCGCGGCACGGCACGGGGATTTATCGTGGCTTCGATAAATCTTCGGTTCGCAAGGTTGCCTGTAGATACTGCCAGTATTAAGCCAAGATTGAGATGTTTAGCGGATGGGTGAATCGAGGGAAAATGAAACTCGCTTGTATGGGTTTCGTTCGGGTTGCCAAATTGTAATTGCACGATAAAGAATATGGGGATCCGCGTTGTAAAATAAGGGATATAAAATGTGCCATGATTTTATAAGTAGCTCGCCTTATTGATAAAACAAGCGATTGCCATTATTCGAGAGAAAACAGAGCCATTCGTATTATACGCCCCTTCCTCGAATCAACATTCTGGCCGTGCACCTGCTCGTCGTCTAAACCCTTTCAAGATCGTTTTCGTTGAAAGAAAGCAAGCAGCTCTGAAATCTGCATAACGGAGCAGCTCTTTTATACCTCCAGTTTTACGACGCATTTAGTTGCAACGAACGGGTAGCATATTTTCGCGAAATACATTCTACGATTTTCTCATCCTCGAAGCGAGGTTTAAACCCGTTCCCCGTGAATAGTGAAACTGATCGATAGGCAAATTCGTGTATCGCGGATAGCGTTTATCCCGTAACGGACTTACGATTCTTCGATATTGCCGCCTCTATGGATTTATCCTCGAAACGGGATAAGAAAACCGTGCTCGTCGCCGTTGGTACACGAGATTCCCTGTTTATTCTCGTAACAGCGCGTTCTTCTGCTTCCGTTCGTGTCGATATTTCTTAATGAGTCTCGAGCACGATGTGAAACTCGGAGGGAATAAGAGGATCGGAGGCGGTGCGATGAATCACGAACAGTTTTCCTGTGTACCGGAAGCTCGTTCTTCTACAAGATAGACAGCCGGAGCAGCAATAAGAAGGAAAGTTAGCGACTTCGTGACCAGTTTCTCGGATACTTCTCGGTTTCCTGATCCCCGACTGCCAACCAATTAGAACTTGAAACCTCTCCGAACTAGTAATCCGTTCGGAGGATCACTCGTTATTGATAATCGTATTCGTTACGTGATCTCTGAATACACGTAGATATTACATATTTAGCTATTAGGCGATTTGGCTAGAAGAGGTAGGAGTCAGAAAGCTTGTTGAGTACTAGCGAGAAAGGTTTGATTTTCTGCGCCATCTACTGTCATAGAAGTACAACCACCATAGTTGACCAAACGTTCAGTCATCAAAATGACAACAGTTCCCATCTCAACTTTCAAACACTTTGAAACATTGAAACACTAAATAGTTTTTACTTTCCAGCTAAGCGACGGAACCGTATCGGAAGCGCCCCGTCGCGTGGCGATCGAAGGAGGTCCAGGAAGCGGAAGAACGACCCTCTGCCTCCGACTCCTCCACCAATGGGCGATCCAAGGCGATGGACCCGCCTTAGCCTTCATCGTGCCCCTCCGAGAACTTCGCGGCAGCCCCGTATTAAATTATTTGGCCCGAAAGGGATATAAAATGTGCCATGATTTTATAAGTAGCTCGCCTTATTGATAAAACAAGCGATTGCCATTATTCGAGAGAAAACAGAGCCATTCGTATTATACGCCCCTTCCTCGAATCAACATTCTGGCCGTGCACCTGCTCGTCGTCTAAACCCTTTCAAGATCGTTTTCGTTGAAAGAAAGCAAGCAGCTCTGAAATCTGCATAACGGAGCAGCTCTTTTATACCTCCAGTTTTACGACGCATTTAGTTGCAACGAACGGGTAGCATATTTTCGCGAAATACATTCTACGATTTTCTCATCCTCGAAGCGAGGTTTAAACCCGTTCCCCGTGAATAGTGAAACTGATCGATAGGCAAATTCGTGTATCGCGGATAGCGTTTATCCCGTAACGGACTTACGATTCTTCGATATTGCCGCCTCTATGGATTTATCCTCGAAACGGGATAAGAAAACCGTGCTCGTCGCCGTTGGTACACGAGATTCCCTGTTTATTCTCGTAACAGCGCGTTCTTCTGCTTCCGTTCGTGTCGATATTTCTTAATGAGTCTCGAGCACGATGTGAAACTCGGAGGGAATAAGAGGATCGGAGGCGGTGCGATGAATCACGAACAGTTTTCCTGTGTACCGGAAGCTCGTTCTTCTACAAGATAGACAGCCGGAGCAGCAATAAGAAGGAAAGTTAGCGACTTCGTGACCAGTTTCTCGGATACTTCTCGGTTTCCTGATCCCCGACTGCCAACCAATTAGAACTTGAAACCTCTCCGAACTAGTAATCCGTTCGGAGGATCACTCGTTATTGATAATCGTATTCGTTACGTGATCTCTGAATACACGTAGATATTACATATTTAGCTATTAGGCGATTTGGCTAGAAGAGGTAGGAGTCAGAAAGCTTGTTGAGTACTAGCGAGAAAGGTTTGATTTTCTGCGCCATCTACTGTCATAGAAGTACAACCACCATAGTTGACCAAACGTTCAGTCATCAAAATGACAACAGTTCCCATCTCAACTTTCAAACACTTTGAAACATTGAAACACTAAATAGTTTTTACTTTCCAGCTAAGCGACGGAACCGTATCGGAAGCGCCCCGTCGCGTGGCGATCGAAGGAGGTCCAGGAAGCGGAAGAACGACCCTCTGCCTCCGACTCCTCCACCAATGGGCGATCCAAGGCGATGGACCCGCCTTAGCCTTCATCGTGCCCCTCCGAGAACTTCGCGGCAGCCCCGTATTAAATTATTTGGCCCGAGAACTGTTCCCCAGAACGGCAGCCATCGGCGACGCCGTTGCCCAAGTTTGGAGAACGCTGCACCTGATGGAGGACCGCGTGTTGTTCATCCTGGACGGCTACGACGAGTGCGTGGGTGGCAGACCGTCTCTCGGCGACGCCGTGGACCTCCTCGAAGGACGACTGTTTCCTGATGCCAGGATTTTGGTTACTTGCTCCCCTAACAACTCTAGCGTGTTGTCCCCACTCGTTCAGAGGAGGATTCATCTGGCTGGGTTGGAATGGTCGCACGTGGAGAGGCTCTGTGTCGCTTATTTTATCCACAACGACATCGCGGAGAAGGCTTGCGAGTTCCTTGAAGCGCTGAACGTTCAACCGCAGACGGTCAAGCAGCTTGGTCAGCACCCGTTGGGTTGGATTATGCTCTGCTGTCTCTATCAGGTATTTATCGCTGGGTTATTCTTATATTTTCTTGCGGATACTCTGAGGTTAGGCTGTAGAAAGTGGGATTACAAAAAGTAGGATTTGGATATCATCCACTTTTGTGATAAGTACACCCTCGAAACGAATCCGGAGATCACAAAGGGTTTACTTCAAAGGCCTACCACTACAGTCTCTTCGAGCACCTAGTCAAAGAGCATCTTTCATTTCCTAGGACTCCGGAAGTTTACCAACAGAGACGAGCGCGTTGGTTCAAGCCGCCGTGAAGTGTATCGTAAGAAGAAGCCTAGACCCCCCGGTCCCTTACAACGAGGAGGTTCCAGGTCACTGCAGGAAGCGACTGGAAGACTTCGGGAAGTTATCGCTGGCAGCGCTCAGGGAGGGCAGGTGTTGTTACACGGAAGCAGAGTTAAGGGCTCGAGGTGGCGGTATCGAGGTCACCAGGTTAGGCTTCCTAACCAAAGGGCTGACTTTCGGACAACGCCGCAAACCGGACCTCTACACCCCGGTCCACATGGCGGTAGCCGAGTTCCTGGCAGCCTATTATCTCACTTCCGTCGCTCAGTACGCCAACATACTGCGGAGGGAACTCGAAGGATTGCCGTCAGGGATCATCAGTCACTTGGCCGGGTTACTGGGACCCAAAACGCATTTGATACTGAATCAACTCTGTCCGCTGGAAGTGCCACCCAGAGCCATGTTCTCGTTGCTGAAGGCAGCGGGTGCCTCGGACGGAAACATCTCCGCCGTGTGCAGATTGGTCGGAGCGGGACCTGGATTCGGTCCTGCGCCCAACGAGAGACCACCGGCACCGCTGGTTCACACCTCGCCCTTGGAACTCGAGGGCTGGGCTAGGATCCTCGAGAGCCCGGCTTGCACGCTAGAAGCCCTCGAAGTTGTCTTCCAAGTCGAGAGGGGATCGGATCCCAGGTATCTGGACGACTTCTTCGAAGCCCTCGCTGGAAACGAGAGCGTCAAACTAGTTAGGATCACGTCGCTTCTGGGGCAAGAGTTTCCCGCTGACGAGGCGCAGAAGTTGGCCGGTCACTTGAAAAGTGTCCTGGGGAAGAAGAAGCTGAACGACTTCGAGCTGGTCATCACGTGTTTGGAGGAAGCGGCGCATGACAGGTGAGCATTCGATACGTACGAGTTTCATTCGATTAGGCATCCCTGTTTTTGTCTGCAAACCACCAGAACTTTCTTGCTATTTTCTACCGAGCCACTGTTCGCAACTTCTTACGCGATCTCGAAAGTCGTGAAATCTCAAAATGTCCTTGGCTCTACTGTCTGCAACTTTTTACGATCTCCAAAGTTCCGAGATCGCAGAATGTCCTTGACGGGGTTTAATTCGCGATATGACTCGGACAAAGTTAGAAATCAACCGAGATACGTCTTAAAGCGCTGTAAGTTTAGAGGATAGGAGCGACGCAATAACGTTACAGCGGAGAAACTTTCTGAAAGGTAGACGAAGCGAAGCGTTGGTTAAGCTGACACGGAAGAAAAAAAATCGGGGAAACGTTCGGGCCGTCTGCGCGAACGTCGAGCAATATCGGCAAGTGGATTAAAAAAGTTTACTCGTGAAAGAGATACGCGTGTACGGTCGTACAAATAGAGCTTTTTAACTCGTAACTGGGAACAGAAGTATAAAAAGTCAGATCTTTGCGAGATACGCGGGGAAATATTAGCCGCTATTAATTATGAACGTCTACTTATCTCGGTAACGAAGGAAACTTCTCGGGAACCACCTTATCGCAGTCGTTCGTTAAGTTGAAACAAAAATTTGCAGATGGGCGGCACGTAGCGCCAGAATATTTCCACTGAAAAGAGACTACAATAATTTCGTTCCGAAGCTTTCGTTCAATACGAGATATAAAAAATGCCAGAAATCTGATATTCGAAGCACGAAGCCCGTAACAATGAGCACACCCTTCGAAAAGGGGTTGAATCGCGGTCGCACAAAGTCGCTGAAAGAAAAAAAAAAAACTTTTGGAACAATATGCCGCAAAAGAATGGAGAAGCTTTTATATTTTTTTTTCTCTGTTCGAGAATCGCGAAGTAGGGTCAACGTGGCCCGTGGCGAAAAATTAAGGAGACGGGTCGGTTTTCGCGGTTGAAACGTTGGACGAGTTACAGAGGCCTCGTTTCGCGACTCCGTCGATATTTCTCTCGCTCTGCAACCTTCTTTCGCCTCCTTTCCTCGATTCGCATTTTGTTTCTCTCCTTTTAAAGCCGGCTTTTCGCCCGTTTCTTTTCCGCCGCTTCCCTTGCTTATTTCTCTCGAGAAGCTTTTAAAGTTTTCGGTCCTTTCCGAGAAGTTCGCGCCGGGAAGACGATTCACAATTTTCTCTTCTCAGTCGGAACACTTTGACGGTGTCGGTTCTCGAGAAATGCCGGTTAGAAGCTGCAATCAAATTACGAGGGACTTTTAACTTCTTTCGAGATAATTTCGTCCGAGGTGCTTCAGCAGATTTTCAGACTATTTTTTACAGTTCAAAATGCGAAGTTCAAGTTTAACAAGACCGTGCATAATTTTTTACGAGGTTTTTCTTTAATTCTTAAATAATCTTGCAGCAATTTGCTGTTTCTCTTTTAGAAGGGAAAATGTTCATAACACAGTTTCTGTCAATAAATCCGTCGCAATTGGTGACGTTGACGAAGAGGGCCACTTTCACAAAATCCTGGTCAAGATAAACTGTGCCGCTGCAACTTTGACTGACAGCTGACTGAATATTTCCAATGCAAACGGAATACAAAGTCAACAAAAAATTGCGCTTTTTTAACCATCAAAATACGGGTGATTACGTAGCTGTCGTTTACGGTGTATTTAAACTGGCTGTCATCGATTGTTCCTCCTCTTATATGAACGTTTTAATGGGATAATTTAAATCAACCCCTTTGTTGTCAATTTTTCTCGATTTTTAATAGCCTTCATTTTGCAGTTCAAGACAAGTTTCATAGTCATTGACATAATATTTCAACTTTTTTTGTTTGTTTTAAATATTGCAGCTGTGATTAGTTCTGATTGATGCACTTGAGAAAGAAATCATACTGCAACCAGCCACCAGAGTAGCTTGACTACTGTGACTGTTAGAAAAATTATTATATGTAAGCATCAGACAAAGTATCATTTATATATAAACATCAGACAAAGCATCATTCATATAAGCATCAGACAAAGCATCATTTATACAAGCATCAAACAAAAATTATTTGATATCAAGATTTTGATCATCTCATAAAAATAATTCATATCAAGCCTGATTTTTTTCTATCAGCAATAGCAGGCAGAAGCTTTAATAAAAAATTATTATATACAAGACTAAAAATTATTTTGTATGAAGATTTTAATTATCTCATAAAAATAATTCAAAAATAATTTCAATTGCGAAACAATTTTTCACGATTCAACTCAACGCTCTTCAATTTAACATGACTCTGTTTCGATTTGACTCGACGCCATCGCTACAATTCGACTCATCCAATAAAATCGCATCGATCGGCGCGAACATTAAACAGGGTTGAATGATTTTAATTAACTTTGGAACATGTACCGTTTGTTTGAATTTGCGAAATATCGTAATGGAAGCGAGCGCATTGTTCGAGCAGCAATTTTCGCGAACGCGTGTAAGCGTGCGAGAACGTTATTTATAGCGTTTTTTTTAAGTTTGTTCTCCACGTTTATCGAAAACAATGTTGTTTCGCTCATCAAAAACGCGTGTACGAGAAGCACGATTAATATTGCTTTCTCTGCTTTCAACGTTGCTTTCGCTAGCGTATTGTTTATCGCGCGCTGTAAGAATTCCGTGGGAACGAGCTTTTCCAGCGAGCTCCAGAGAAAATCTAGACTCGTTTGCAATTCTCCGAGAAGGGAGTATAACTGTATCCGTAATTTGCATAACTGTTGCACGTATACGCGCGGCCGCTTCTCGAAATAATGGCGAACAGACAACGAAGGGAACATTATACATGCATAAATCCAACGGGGAATATGCGTCGGTCTTCCAGCGAACAAATTTGCACAAAGGGTTGTGCAAGGGCCACTGGCGAGAAAGACTTCTTTTAACTTTCCTACCTTTAAATAATCTATAGATTGTAAATTCTCCTTCCATAAATCTTAGTAATTTTAATGTCGTGAATCTGCGCGGAGGCATAAATTAAGAAACGCGATAACTCTCGTCAAAGGCTTTACTTAAAGTCCCACTTTTGGAAGACCGTCTCTCGCCGATGAGTTATAGCTTGATTCATGGAAATAAAATTGATTTTCATTCATATTCATCGCTCGGCGAATAAATGCACAAAGGGTGGCTCCAATATCGCGAAAAAATAGCTAGCCGAATTTTATGAGGTCGCTCGCGATAGAACATACATTGATAATAAATTTTGATTTATGAAACCAAATCGAAATTCGACAAAACGCGTCGGTCATCTTGCGAGCAAATTTGCACAAAGCGCCGCAATAATATCGCAAAATTGCTTTTTCCAGTGTGATATATAGTTTCATAATAAATTTTGATTTACGAGATCATATTTGCGCAAACTTCGAAAAGCTCCATTTTCGATTACTTTGTATAACAGTTTTAAATCAATTTCGATTAACCGAATTACTCCCTGGCGTTCATATTCGTCTCGAGAGCAAAATGCCACGAAAGATCAAGGGAATGGCGACCGCAGTTAGCCCATTTTCGTCGACATTTCGCAAACACTGCAGTTTCTCGTATCGGTAACACTGTGTCAAGCAGCCACTGATGACGGAAATTGCGATGCTTGCGAAACGTTGGCAGGAAAACTGCAACCCTCCTGGAACCTTTGTAGCGTTCTCCATTTCCCTCGTTACGCTGGAATAGTCACCCATTATCGTCGAATAAAATCCTTCTCATTATCACGTAACATTTACAAAATTATCCACGTCATGTTCATGTTTAAAAAAGTCAGTGTTCATGTTTTAAAAAATCCGAACCCTCTATGGTCCTCGAGATGAGTTCTGAACATGGACTCTCAAAATGAATGATCTCTTCTGTACATTCAACAAACCATTATAATATTCATTTTTTAAAAATCAGACATCTTTATGGTCCTCGAGATGAACTCTCAACATGGACTCTTTTATGAACGATCTCTTCTGTACATTCAACAAACCATTATAATATTCAATTTTTAAAAATCAGACATCTTTGTGGTCCTCGAGATGTGCTCTCAATATGGACTCTCAAAATGAACGATCTCTTCTGTACATTCAACAAACCATTATAATATTCATTTTTAAAAATCAGACATCTTTGTGGTCTTCGAGATGAGCTCTCAATATGGACTTTCTGATGAACGACCTCTCTTTCACATTTAATAGACCACTACAATATTCATTTTTTTAAAAATCGAACACCTTTGTGGTCCTCGAGATGGACTCTCAGCATGGACTCCCAAAATGAACAATCTCTCCTCCACATTCAATAAACCAGTAACCCAAAAAATTCCTACAATATTCATATTTAAAAAATGTAGAAACCTTTGTAGTCCTCGACATGGGCTCTCAGCATGAACTCCCAAAATGAACAATCTCTCCTCCACATTCAATAAAACAATAACCCAAAAAATTCCTACAATATTCATATTTAAAAAATGTAGAAACCTTTGTAGTCCTCGAGATGAACTCTCAACATGAACTATCTCTTCTGCACATTCAATAAACCAGTAACCCAAAAAATTCCTACAATATTCACACCTAAAAAAATCATAAACCTCTGTGACTCTCAATATGGAGTCTCCACATGGAGCTAACCTAACAACCTAATCAAAATGAACCTAACCTAACGACCCGAAGCAAAGTTAGCGAACGAAGTATTTGTGATTCGCAACGCGAAGGCCATAAATTGACAGTGAAATGAATTTGTTTCAGATTGGAATGCGTGGTGAACGCCCTGTGCCGAGGACTGAGTCACGCGTCGAGCAGCTTGGCACGGTTGGTCCTCGACATGAATCTGTTCGGTGAACAAGTGTCCCGGGTCTGCGAGGCACTTCGTAGCTGCGTTCAAGTGCAGGCACTGCACTTGCCCCATTTGGGCTGTGGATGCGAGGGCCTAGCATCGGTCGCCGAGCTGCTCAAAGAGAGACCTTTGCTGGCGCTGAACCTGGCCGGAAGCTGGGGAGCCAAGAACGAGGATCCGTCCAGTTCTGGAATCAGTATGGGTAAAACCTTCCCATTTTTTTTCTTTTTCGTTTGCTTCTCTTTATCATTCATTTCTCCTCGTTTTGTTTTATCTTGGAGGTACATGTTTGACTCGTTCCATTTTACTATTGCATTATGTGGAAAATAATGCAGAGTGAAATTTATAACGAAACTGAAATTTGTAACGAAAGTGAAATTTATAACGAAAGTGAAATTTATGGGAATTGTTGGACATCTTTTCCTGCAAGATATCGCATTTTGTTTGTTATTCATTGCTCGATCATTAGAGTGTTAATTTTTGGTTTGCGAAAAAAAATCGTGTTGAGTAGGTTGCGAGCCAATAACAAGCCAGCTACCCACGAGTACACGTAGCCATTAGCCGAGTACGGTAGCGGAATTAGAAAGTTGAAATTAGAACAGTTTCCGGTCTTGCAACGGGAAAATCGTAGAGAAGGAAAGTTCCCGCGGCGTTTTACATAGACACAGAACGAAACTTCAGCCCTTTCGAACTTTAAAGCCGTACCATTTGCCCGAGTTACCGCGAATACGTACCACGTAAGACCGCTGCACACCTCTGGGACGTTCAATTTATGAAGCGGACAGGCTTTTCTCGTGAGCAAAATTGCAATTCCGTGGCGAGAAGCGAAGCTTCTGATAACGACGATTTGTCCAGGATAACGATTACTCCACGACGCTCTCCAATTTGCTTCAGAATCAGTTTCCCTGCTTTTATCCCCACGAGTCATCCTTGTAACGCTCTGATTTACAACGAAACCGCGATGAAAATTCCCTGTATAACGCATCAATTTAAATCTTAAAGCTTGATGAATACGGCTGTGTAAACTTTTAGACCCGCCATTTTGATTTGCACCGTATTTCTGTGAAGTGATACATCGCACTATGAAAGAAGACGTAGAGATCTAGAGAAGAATAGAGACTGCTAAGGACCATGTGCTAAGATATATGAACCATGTTTGACTAAGACTTCACACAAGTTTTTCCCTCCGATCTCTCTCATCATACGTTTATCCTAATAAAACAAAGAAAATGAAATCGGCAATTGCATAATCAGAATACGAATTACGAAAGACAACTCTCGATCAACTCCCCGAACTTCTAAGCATCAATGACAACTCCAGTTTGAGAAGTTTCGCCGGTAGCAAACGTTCACGAGGAAGCAATGTTAACACGACGATGAGTAACGCAAACGTGTCCCTGTTGTTCTTCCGATGATATCATAGAGTTAATAGTTCTCGACCAAGCTCTTCAAGTTTCTCGGAGTTACGAGCTGTTTGCTTCTAGCCGGATCGATCGACAATTTATTACCGTTTTCGCGGTGACGACAGATTATTAACTCGCGTTCGAATATTACGCTGCAAATCTCCGAACGAATTCTATCTGTTCAAGGATTCCGGTGGTGGATCAACGAGATAGAATTCCTTCGAAGTCTTTCCGTTTCAGATTAACACGTTGGCAGATTTGTTATCAAGTTAATACATTCGTATGTTAAACACGTAATCATCTAATGTGAAATGCGAATGCCAGACCCAGTTGCATTGAAATTGTCGGTGATTTCGTGTCGTTTTACTACTTGAAAGCTAACACGTTGATCGACATGAAAACTGACATTTGCGGGCAGGGAATATTAAGAACAAGGACGTTTCGTGTTTTAATATGGTACAGCTTTATGTCGAACCAGGTGACAACACCAGATTATATTTGTACTGAAAAGAGTAATGAAATGATGAGGTAGCAATGATGTTCAGTATACAATGATGCCCTCAAGGGCTGTGATCTCATCGTGATCCATCATAGATTGATCACACATTAGTTGTTAAAAAAAATCTTTTAATCTGCACATCTAATAAAGAATCCGTATCTGTAAGAATCTGTAAAGTACGTAAGCTTTTAGTGCAATTTGAATTCGCAGATCACATATGGTCACCGCGGCAATGAACGCGTTAGCATCCTGATATTAAAACACGACGATAAAGCTTTTTCCACTTGAGTTGGCACTATTTCGCTAAATAACCACTTAAGATATATAATGGAGGCACACGCGTGGATTAAGGGTCTCCATTTGTCGCGCGACAAAACGGCTGGCTGACCCAAATTATCAAAGAGCATCCACCGGTTCTCGTTGCCGTCTAAATTCATTCGCTTCCGGCGTGTTGAACAAGTGGAATGGCAAAGGGAATGATAAACGGCCCCGGGCATCTTTTCCCCGTTTAATTCTTTCTCCTCTTGGATTTCATTAAACTCGAGAATGGCTCACGTCACGGCTCAGAGGATAATTTACGTAATTCGTTGAAGAAGAACGAAGAAAAAGCCGTAGAGGAGAATGAAATTGGTATTTTTCCATTATTCGATCTCCCCCCGTGTCCGTTGCTTTGTGTCGAACAAAAGTCAGCATTCGATCTTCGAGAAATGTTTTATTATCGTTTCGTATTGCGGCGACGAGAGAAAATTTATATAACTCTATATTTAACGTCGTAATGGCCGCTGCGTTCAATTCCCTTCGCAGGAATTCGATTGAAATATCGATTTTCCAGCAAAAGAAAGAAACAACGCAGAACAATAATACGAATCACTATCAACAAGAGTTGCACTGAATGGAATGCTTTGATGCAGCGTTCCGATGCAAAAAGCACACTGACCCAGAAACCGACCGTGGGACTGTGTGCCGGTTAAGAGGTTACAGGTCGTCTATCAAATCGATTGGTTCGATGAAATCTACCGCAGGGATTCGCTTTTTAACAAATTAAACGCATAGCTCGTTTTGTTCAACTTCATAGACAAATCTATCTACGAGTTTACAATGTTACTACTGAACCCTTTGCACTCGAAGGTAATTTGACTGTTTGCAAGCAGCAACTTTAAAAATTAGTTCAAAAGTTAAATGAATTCTTTTGAGGTTATTTCTCTACTAATAATTTCCGCTATTATTTGTTTCACTGTGTTTATACATCACACGTGTCATATTATAGAGTCAGTTAGAAATGCTTATTTAAAATTATTGTATTAAATAAAATGGTGAGTGAGAGACCTCTCGAGCGCAAAGGGTTAAATTTGTTATCTGACGATGGACAAATAAATATGATAAATCAGACACGAGAATAATAACGGCAAATGTAGGAAATGAGGACCGAAAAAGCACAATGCTCCGAATCCCCTTCGATCCCGTATATCTCAATGCGTATATAGCCATTGGGGAACGACCGAAACGGAGGAAAATGGGGAAAAAGAAAGGATCGATGAGTTCTCTCGAGAAACCGTCAAACCGAAAGATTTGATTTGTCTACGCCGCTATACACCTCGTCGTCGCCTCCAGGAAAATTGCCTTCGACCCAGCCAATCTTCGGGGACTTCTTTCAGCCCGTCAGAAGTAAACTCGATCTTGCAGTTATCCGTTTAAAGAAAATAGAGGAAAATCGAAATTCGACCCTGAACAGGCTTTTAACTCTCGGAAATTTTCATTCGAATCAGCCCGTTCAAAATAAGTACACTCTCATAAATCTACCGAAGAGATAGGTTAGGTTATAATTATTACGATAATAAATGACATAGCATCACAACGGTGACAACGAAAGTCTTGTCGCACGGTGCGAAGCTAGGATCAAGGAGTAAAGTTGCAACCCGTTCTCGCGGTAAAAACAGAAACAATGCTCCTCTGAAAAGTCGAATCAGTTTCGAGTTTCAAGGTGTCTCTCCGGCGTACTCTCCGGTTATTCATGCATGCGCATAGAGAGCAGAGTCGAGTTCGAGTGCACAAAGGTCGAAGATAAAGGGAGCAAGGATGGCGGGAGGAAGACATTAAGGGGCTCTTGAGAGAGAAGGTTTGGACAGGGTGTAACAAAGGTCCACGAGGGTTTACCCGGAGATGATTAATACGTTATTTGCGAGCGGAAATTCAGTTGGAAAGTGTCGTTTGCACGAAGGACCGTGTATAAACTATCCTCGAGGACATTGTTCATCTTTCTCGAGGACGTGGTCCAACGACTATTATCATTCTTGTGAAAACATCCTCCATCTATGCTATCTCTAAAGACTACCTTACATGGAATAAAACAGCGATCAATTCTAAATAACTCTCACATCTTTTTCATTAGAATTTACTTGTGTAGTTAAATCTTTCTTCGTCTGAGGAAGAAATGGATGATCTTGCTCGCGATTTTTATCGAATCAAAGCAATTCGCAGAAACCAGGGTCGATCGTAAAAATGACCCTCGTCATGATTGGAGGTTTACGAGGGATTCGACGATTCACTTTAAGGGGTTCCATAAACGACCCCTCTAATCGTTCAACTTCCTGCTGACGATTCGAACGGATAAAGACGAACTTTTCAAAACTATAATTGCTTGTTTTAATTCTTTACGAAGGGAATTGTTTCGAAAATAAGATTTCCCGAATTCGTTATCCCTTGCTCTTTAATCTACTCGAAGTTGCGCTGTCACTCTACGAACAATGAATCTCATCAGCGTTCCAGGGCTGCTTATTACTTCCAGCTGCTCACTCGCTGCCGTTGCTAATTATTCCAGTAGGAAAGTTACCATAACAAGTAGCGACAACCAGAAATTCCTAGAGTGGATCTCTAGCGACGAGTGTCGTTTTCTAAGCTCTTCCCTTAGAATACGAGTCTCAACATCATCTTGCGCTAAATTACCGTGGTGTTTTCCCTGGAAAAATTCGAAGGAACATTCGTGGCGAATTAATATTCCGACTGGAATTTCATCGACCGCTTTCTCAAATTTCCTGTAATCCAGTGGCGAGCACGTACACCCTCTGCGAGATCACGTCCAAAAAGGAGTTTGTTAACTCCATCGGAATCCAGGACGAGCGGCGAATTAAAGCTATCGTCGGGTAAACGCGAGTCCGTGGCCCGCAGGATAACACCGCGTCGTGGCTGACTATCGCCGAGTTACACTCCTCGAAAATACCCCCAGATATAATAAGGTTACCGTTTCTCCAACACCAGTTTCAAATTCACTCGACCCAAGTCGATCGTTTCAGATTTCAATCAGAACCAACTTTCGCAATCTTACCACTGAACTTAATATTTCAACTTTCTTCATTTGTCTTCACGTTGCAGGAATGATACCTAGCTATGAATGCAGCTGACCAGAAAATTGTTGGTTAAATTATTGAATATTGCACGGGTGTGCATGAAAATCTGTACAAAGGCAATACAGTCGTAGTTTATCTTTAACACTAAACCTACCGGCATACAATGCGTGCTTAATTTGAAATTAAAAATGAAGTTAAAAATTAAATAAACAAACGATCAAACATAAATTAGTACACACATTTATTCTTTATCTTGATGAAAATCAATTCTGATTTCAAGAAATGTACTTCAACAAAATGTATACCTTTTAAGAAGAAACTTGTGGAGCGGTTATTTGACCGGCTTGGTAGTTTTAGTGTTAATAATATCGAAAGGCAAATGAGACGTTTTAACTCTGTATAAAAGCAAGAGGCGCAACCGCGTGGTAGAAGAAAATGACGAGGTTATGTTTGACGACTCGTAACACTCGTTTCCTTAAAGGAAGTTGTCCGTCTTAAAGCAATTTGTTTGTCAACTTACCTTCCGTAAGGGGAACCGTAAGATTCCGTGGCGTTGCATAAACGGCAAGAACGACTACTGCACGGGACGTGTCTTTAACCGTGTTCAGCGGAGTTTACCGGCCGTAAAGCTTCGCCCGCGTAGAATTAATATAAACGAAGCGTATAAGGGAGAAAGGTAACGACGTTGGCTCGCGCGTTGCTAAGCGGTTCGTAAAATAAGCGGCGGAAGCGGTTACGTAGAGGGAACTTTATTGAGGACTCTCCTCCTCTCGAATGCCGCTTCGCGAGATAATGACTTCAATGACGAACAATACGAGGGTGAACGTACCGCTGAATGAAACTACGTTACGAACGATCGAACGTTCGCGAATCTGATTCCGAGTAATACTGCTTCAATTTCCCACCGCCATTCTTCTCGCGGGTCGATCGATTACATACACCGATTACGTTTGTTAAGCAAATATTCTGTTTTGTTGTAATATTATTACGCTGTGGAATGTCTGCATTTCGCGGGAACAATCGTAAACACGCTGAATACATAACGTTTATTGGCGTGAGAATGACTATCTGTCCCGATCATTTTGTGCTACTGCTATTGATGTAATAATATTTTTAGAAGATAGTCTCGAAAGAGTTTAGAAGTTAAGTTAAGATAGTTTAGAAGTTAAGTTAAGGACTCATTTAAGTTAAATAGATTCAGTTAATTATATAATTATGCACATTTTCATTTTGGAACATAAGAGTACCTTAACCTACAATTTTCAGTTGCGTCACACCTAGCTTATAAGCTAGTAGTAAATTATTGTTATTATGTTAAGACAACTAACGAAAGTTAGAACGTAAGAATATTTTGCCTTTAGCAATCCTTGATTACACAGATTATCGTCAGAATTGAACCCAATGTTCAATTGCAGTGAAGATCTAATTTTAATTTGTCACACATGAACCTTAATCTGCGTCCCAAGTGATATCGTACATCAAGAGTAATCTTTCAAACTTGCCATAGAATACAATACAAAAATGCATGAAAATTCCCAGTCGATGCAGTTAAAATCACAAACCAAAGCTTCTAAATCAAAGTAAACGATTGGTCGCGTCACCGAGAGTCCATTACCAGCGTAACATCGATTCGATCCCAGGCGAGTTCACCCCCGGCAATTACAAGCCATTTCGCGCGAACTAACTTCCTCGAACGCAGGCCGTGAAAGCGTTTCTAGCCGAGCCGAAATGAGACGATCAAAACGAATTGCGTAGGTTCGGGTTCCGGTTCCGGAAGCAGCGGCTGCGCGTCCAGCACCCTTGGCACGCTACCCCTTAATCGCTGCTACTCTTCGCTCCCGCGGGGCGCTTTGGCAGCCTATGGCAGTTTAACGAGGCCCGCAACCCTGCCGCGGCTTCCTTTGGGGCTTGGCCTTGGTCCTGCACCCGCCACCGGAAACGGACCACTTCCGCAGAACGACAGAGACAGGGACAGCAACGGAAGCAGTAAGAGGAACAGCGACAGCGTACTGTGTCATCGTCTGCCGCTACTGCACCCGCTACCCACTTGTGACGTCACCAGCCATCAGGGCACTGGTTTTCACGAGATCTTCAACGCCATCAGGTGAGATTTGCATCCCCTTTTTGTAGCCACAATTTTGCAATTTTTTACCTTTACATATTTTAGGACCATTGCATATTTTAACATTTAAAATTTTATTTTATATATCTTCGAATTATGTTTCCATATATTAGTTACAGCTCTTATAAGTTCTACATATCTTTGAATTATGTTTACATTTATTAGTTACAGCTCTTAAAAATTTTGTATATCTTTGAGTTATGTTTCCATTTACTAGTTACAACTCTTATAAGTTCTACATATCTTTGAATTATGTTTCCATTTATTAATTACAGCTCTTATAAGTTTTATGTATCTTCGAGTTATGTTTCCATTTACAAGGTACTACTCTTATAAGTTCTTGAGAAGTCTCACTTGGCCAAATTCGTATACTTCCGTAAAATAATTTAGGTTCATTAAACGGACGTTGAACGTCTTGTTTCTCAAGTATTCAATTACGCGAGGGTGAAAAGGAAAGGGTAACGAGAAAACGGTTAAGGGAAATCATTTAATATTCGACGCGAGGAAAATGAAAAGAAACGAGGAGATTTGCAACTTTCATTTACGGTTACGTAAATCTGTCAGCGGCACCGGTTCTGTGTCGAGCAACTTCTAAACCGTAGGCCGCGATTCCGAGTTTCCCCGCGAAGTTTCCAAGATTCGGGTTCCCGAACACCGCTGTTAAATGAGTTATGGAAATTAAGGAGACGAACGAGCGTGGCCATTCGGGAAATTATACGAACTTCCGTCGGCAAGTTCCGCAAAGGGTGCTCTCACCCTCGAGAGTTATGCGAGGGTGGGTTATGCTGTTTTCGCAAAGTCGACGCATTTTCTCTGCTTTGGAAAACAGAGTATTTTTAATCGGCTCGAGGGTGAGGCACTTAAAGCTTTTGCCTGCTATTGCTGATAGGAAAAAATCAGGCTTGAAATGAATTATTTTTATGAGATGATCAAAATCTTGGTATCAAATAATTTTTGTCTGATGCTTATATAAATGATGCTTTGTCTGATGCTTATATAAATGATGCTTTGTCTGATGCTTATATAAATGATACTTTGTCTGATGCTTACATATAATAATTTTTCTAACAGTCATAGTAGTCAAGTTACTCTGGTGGCAGGTTTAACCCCTTGCAGTATGATTTCCTTATCAGGTGCGTCAGTCAGAACTAACCGCAGTTACAATATTAAAACAGACAGTAAAAGTTGAAATATTATGTCAGTGACTATGAAAATAACTAATCTTGAACTCCAAATTGAAGGCTATTAAAAATTCGAGAAAAATTGATCATAACTTAAGGGGTTAAAGTGCCTCACCATGTACAGTTGACGTGTTGAAATTTTTACGGGAGTTACAATTAGATGTCCGTTAAATAAAAAGAAAATTCGACGAAACAAGGCGAAACGGTGTCGCAGTAAAAAGGAATCGCAGGAACAGTGTAATTCGACTCGCAGCCATTTGTTCGGAGTCGCGTTGATGAAAAGGCGGCAAGAAAGAAAGCACTTCGCTCTTTATGAATCCGTTTACGAGCGCCGGCCTTCGCGTGACACACGGCGAAAACGGAAGTCGAGGCCGGCTGCGTAGTTCAACCCTTTTGTTTCCTCGTTTACGAACGGGCCTTGGCACGTCAACCCTTAAACGCGAAAAATACGTTCCGCCATATATACATTCGCTTTGTTCCTGCTCTTTGTCCCGTTGGCTTTTCAACGGAATCCGTAACGGCCTGTTGCCAGCCCCGATGAAGGCTAGTTTCGAAACTCTCCTACGTTTTTAGCGTTCCTGCCCTCATTAGACTCGTTCAAATTTAAACTGTAACATTGTTCGCGTTTTATCTCGTTTCTGATTTTCCTAAACGATGCCGAACTAATTCTAACTGCGTCGAATGTTATTTGCTCTGTGTTCATACACAGATCTTTGCATATCTTCAAAATTATCGAAAAAATTCGTAAATGTAGTTTATTCTTGTGTGAGAATTTATTTTTTTAAATGACTCACTGTTTGCTGCAATTTTCTATTTTATTATTGTACTATCAGTGAGAACTAAGAAGATTAAAATGTGTCACTTTTTCATTGAGTATAAAACCTTGATATCTGTACCAGGGGTAAAAGCATAAAATTGCAAGGAATAAATAAAAAAGTGCACTTTTCTTCGCGGAGACAAATCCGTGACAAATGCGTGAGAATACTATGCGTGGAATTACGGTGCGTGAAAATACTACGCGTGGAATTATGGCGCGTGAGAATACTACGCGTGGAATTACGGTGCGTGAGAATACTACGCGTGGAATTATGGCGCGTGACAATGCCACGCGTGGAATTATGGTGCGTGACAATACCACGCGTGGAATTATGGCGCGTGAAAATACTACGCGTGGAATTATGGCGCATGGCAATGCCACGCGTGGAATTATAGTGCGTGACAATGCCACGCGTGGAATTATAGTGCGTGACAATGCCACGCGTGGAATTATAGTGCGTGACAATGCCACGCGTGGAATTATAGTGCGTGACAATGCCACGCGTGGAATTATAGTGCGTGACAATGCCACGCGTGGAATTATGGCGCGTGACAATGCCACGCGTGGAATTATAGTGCGTGACAATACCACGCGTGGAATTACGGTGCGTGAAAATACTACGCGTGGAATTATGGCGCATGACAATGCCACGCGTGGAATTATAGTGCGTGACAATGCCACGCGTGGAATTACGGTGCGTGAGAATACCACGCGTGGAATTATGGCGCGTGGCAATGCCACACGTGGAATTATAGTGCGTGACAATGCCACGCGTGGAATTATAGTGCGTGACAATGCCACGCGTGGAATTATAGTGCGTGACAATGCCACGCGTGGAATTATAGTGCGTGACAATGCCACGCGTGGAATTATAGTGCGTGACAATGCCACGCGTGGAATTATAGTGCGTGACAATGCTACGCGTGGAATTATGGCGCGTGACAATGCCACGCGTGGAATTATGGCGCGTGACAATGCCACGCGTAGAATTATAGTGCGTGACGCGTGGAATTAACGCGTGACAATATAATTGGCAATAAAAAAGTGCACTTTTCTTCCCAGAGACAAATCTTCCAATTCCCCGGTCCTCGAATGACGCATTACATGAAATTCCAGCGTCTCCGCGATTTACAGGCGCACATTTTACGGAACAAAGGGCAGAAAGAGAAATCATTCGAAAAGACTCGGTATCTGAAATACGTCGCATGACCCGTGATCCATTGGCTCTCATATTGCCGTTTGTTTTCGAGCCTTTCCTCGCGGGAAGAACGATATACGAGTAGAATCGAGAGAGAGCGATATACGCGCTTTGATTTAGAGTATCAGTTTTATTGGCCGAGTGGCTTATCCGCCGCGAGCGTTTCGAATAAAATGTTTATTCTCGCTCGCGATTCGTAGCACGTTACGTTCGCGAGCTATATTTTTACCGTTAGATACGTCGGGACCACTCGAGCGGATTTACTCGTGCCTGGATGCCATTAAAGGAGCGCCATTAACTGTATGCCCGGCTAACCAACCGCTAATAGTCGAGTAAATATCGTGCGAGAAGTAGATAACGTTAAATCCAGACGATCGAGCTCCTCGGCCCTATTAAACGCAGGCTACATACGTGGAATCCTTAACGCGCTTGTCTAAGTCGAACGAGACTGTTATCGCCAGAGAAATTGAAAGTATTTGCAGTGGTTCGATTACATCGAATCTAATTGCGATAGAAGCTGCGTGAATATTTCAGTATCTAGCGCGCGTTTTCAAAGCGTAGTACCTCGATACGGAAATAATGAAATTTCTGTTCGGACGATATTTCAGTTTTTCGTCGAAAGTAACGAGACAGATTCGAACGAAATACGGGCGTCGAAAGAGCGCTGATCCGAATAGGAAGTTTTTAATTGTACTTGTTAATCAGGCACAGCTTCGCCAGGCGGATTACACGGGCACGTTAATGACTGATCTGATTTGCCAGGAAATTGTTCAATTTACAAGCGACCAGCCCGAATAATCGACTTTGCGGAATCGATTCTGGTTAAACACAGCTCGCGTTATTTCGCGATTCCCGAACGTAATTACATTTATTTCGAGACCGATTTTTATAACTGTTTTAATTTCCTCGGCCAACTTTTCCTTTTCACCGTTCGAACCGGGCTTTAATTAAAAGTCTATCCGTTCGATTAATAAAGAAATTACCCTGTCGATCGTTGGGAAATCGTGTAATCGTCTATGTTGGTTTGTCAATTTCTTTGATTAAAATCGACCGACTTGCGGAAGACGGAGCGTTCATAAAATGCTAATTAAAATCGGGAAATTGAGTCTTATTATTTGCCGTCACGAAATCTATCGCGCAAAGAATTGTGAATCCGCTAAATTAACAGGAATGGTAAATCGATGTTTATTCGGTTACGGTGGCTCGTTTGGATAACGAAAACTCTTGGTATCCTATTTATTGGCAAATTTTCCGCGTGTCGAGTGAGTTTCGATATCGAGAGAGGATTTCGCAAGCTCTTCAATTATCGATACCGATGCATTCGATAAATCAAACTCGAATGTATCTCGTTAGAATTCGAACCTCTTGCGCGATTTCATCACGAGCCAATGTCGAGGATCTCCCTTCGTTCGCGTCTCAATCCTCCATCTTTTCAATAATAGATCCACATATGGCACATCTCGTATCCGATTCCGAAAACATTTTCAAGTCGGAAATTCAAATTTGGCTAAACCTTTCCTCTCGATACGGATTTTTCCAACTTTTCTAACTTCTTATTTCTCTTTTTCCTCTACGTATTTTCCTTTTAACTAGTTTTGCTTTCTAAAAGTTCAAATTCCGTGGGAAATTGAAAAACATTCGAACACTGTTTCACGAGACTGCAGATAAGATAAAAATCTACTCCTTTATTTTTACTTGATTTTTTGGTATTCGTTCTAACGTCACTTAAACCTTCTTTTCGTTTGATATTTAATTATAATTTTATTACTTTGTATTATACTATTATATCATCAAGTAATTATTATTGTATTATTGTACAATTGTATCAATTATAATTGCATTATACAATTGTGTAACAATTATATAATAATACATTTGTATCAATTATATCAATTATTGATATAGTCATTATATCAACCAATCAATTATATCAATTATAATTGTATAACAATTATACAATTATACAATTGTATCAATTATATCAATCATTTATATAATCATTATATCAATCAATCAGTTATATCAATTATAATTGTATTATACAATTGTATCAATTATATCAATCATTGATATAATCATTATATCAATCTATCAATTATATCAATAATAATTGTATTATAAAATTGTATAACAATTATACAATTATATACTTGCATCAATTATATCAATCATTTATATAATCATTATATCAATCAATCAACTATAGCAATTATAATTGTATAATAAAATTGTATAACAATTATACAATTATATAATTGCATCAATTATATCAATCATTTATATAATCATTATATCAATCAATCAACTATATCAATTATAATTGTATTATACAATTGTATCAATTGTATCAATCATTTATATAATCATTATACCAATCAATTAATTATAATTGATGTTCCATATCATATAAGATTTCTACTCGAATTTTTGCACCAATTCGTTTAAAAAAAAAAAAAATGAAAGTGGGACGTCAACATTGACCGACTGCAAATTGCATGACCATCCAACTAATCGATGGCGGTTTGCATCGATGCCTCAGAGAACCAAACTGCAAGCTGAGGTCCCTGAACGTGTCCAAGTGTTTGCTCGGCGGATTGGATGCGGGTTGCTTGGGCGAAACCATCCGAAGGGCACGTAATTTGGATGCTCTGAGGGCTGCCGGTGCATCGAGGCCAGCGGACGTGATGCCACTTGTCCTTGCACTGACGGAAGCTCCGTGTCTTCAACTTCTGGATCTCGCTAGTCCGCGACTGGCTCTCGACGATCATCCTTCCAGATTGTTGTGTCACGCGCTTGCCAGGAACACCACTCTGAAGTTACTCAGCCTCGAAGGATGGACGTTTAGAATAGAGGTGAGTTACAATATCCTGTTTCGCTATATGTACTCTTCTTAAATTTTCAAACTCTTTTCACGTGTTGTGAATTTTGTTAAATCGATTACTGGAAGAAGCAACGATAGGTACATTCGAGGACTCTTAATATTGAAACAGTGGTGAAGTTGAAGGATAAAGTTGAAGGATAAAGTTGTAGGATAAAGTTGAAGGATGAAGTTGTAGGATAAAGTTGAAGGATAAACTTGAACGATGAAGTTGAAGGATAAAGTTGAAGGATGAAGTTGAAGGATAAAGTTGAAGGATATAGTTGTAGGATAAAGTTGAAGGATGAAGTTGAAGGATAAAGTTGAAAGATAAAGTTGTAGGATGAAGTTGAAGGATAAAGTTGAAGGATGAAGTTGAAGGATGAAGTTGAAAGATAAAGTTGAAGGATAAAGTTGAAGGATAAAGTTGAAAGATAAAGTTGAAGGATAAAGTTGATGGATGAATTTGAAGGATAAAGTTGAAAAATAAAGTTGAAAGATAAAGTTCAAGGATGAAGTTGAAGGATAAAGTTGAAAGATAAAGTTGTAGGATGAAGTTGAAGGATAAAGTTGAAAGATAAAGTTGAAGGATAAAGTTGAAGGATGAAGTTGAAGGATAAAGTTGAAGGATAAAGTTGAAAGATAAAGTTGAAGGATGAAGTTGAAGGATAAAGTTGAAAGATAAAGTTGAAGGATGAAGTTGAAGGATAAAGTTGAAAGATAAAGTTGAAGGATGAAGTTGAAGGATAAAGTTGAAAGATAAAGTTGAAGGATGAAGTTGAAGGATAAAGTTGAAAGATAAAGTTGAAGGATGAAGTTGAAGGATAAAGTTGAAAGATAAAGTTGAAGGATGAAGTTGAAGGATAAAGTTGAAAGATAAAGTTGAAGGATGAAGTTGAAGGATAAAGTTGAAAGATAAAGTTGAAGGATGAAGTTGAAGGATAAAGTTGAAAGATAAAGTTGAAGGATGAAGTTGAAGGATGAAGTTAACAGATTTTTAAGTGTCCCTAATAATGTTTGTCATAGTATCTGACTACTAACTTCAATTTTTACTATGACAGTATCTTCCTGTACGAAAAGCCAGGTAAACTAAAGTCCACCTTGATTCTCCTTTTTCCGGAATCGATTTTTGCACAAACTCTTGTTCTACTTTACTCGAAAAGACATTATCGAGTTTGTCTCTGCAGTACAATATTAATCTCGTACGAGATCTGAACAAACTTCTATTGTTTAATAACAAGAAACGTGGAAAAAGTATGAAGTTGATGATAGAGAAAATATGAGATTGAATAATGCAGTAAGAATAGCAGTCGGTAAACGAGTGAAGCATCCAGGCGGAACGCTGACAAGTTGGCCGGCGATTCGAGGCTGGAATTTACATTCCGAATTCGGAGCAAGGTTCTAACGAGTCGGCACTTAAGTTAACCGTGACGGTATATAGGAACGGCAGGCGTTTTCTCGTCCGCCGTTGAAAATTTCATCCTCGAGGTTGCTTTTGTATTCCGTGTTAATGACAGGAACTAGTCGCGTCCATCAAACTGCCGCGCACAACCGAATATGCAGCCGTGTGCGCGCTCGTTTGCCAAGTGGATTTCGCGTTGGCCATTGTAGAACGAATGGAAAACGATAAACTAATAAAGCTGCGGGGATTCGATTGTTGGCCGGCCTGCAGCGAACATACGTCGATTTTGTAGAGCCGAACGTTTTCAATGTTTTCTGCTTCACGGTTTCAAACAGGCCGATCAGCTTTCGTTTCTCTGTTATCGATCCCACCCTCCAAGCTGTAATCGGTCGAATAAAAGAACTCTCTCCCTCTGGCAACGAGTTACCGATGTTTCGGATTCAGAGAGCTTTTCTGTGGATCGAACTTTTCAGACATTGTGTATCGAGACGACTACTTGGAATTCTCTACCACAATGTTGTCGAGACGTTCTGCAACTTCGCTGCAGTTGCCCTCGAGCACTTACGAAATTGTACGAAGGGTTGAATTTTTACTTAACCTCGATGATTTCGCAAACATTTCCTAATCGTTCTTAACTTTCTCAAACTCTGTCCTTTCAAAATTATTTCGACAAAAGTTATTTTAGAATTCGCGACGTTAATAAATACGGGGAGACGAATATAGCTTGCGGGCTTAATTAGCGCTCTGCTAATTAGCGAGCAGTTACAGTTTCGATGTGCTTTGATCGTCTGAAATGACGGCATGAATAATACAGAACGATCCGTTTTATCGCATTCACCGCAAACATCGACGTTTGGTCAGTGACCCACAGGATGACACAATCGAATGTGATTTGTTTTCTTGACGTTTTACGAAACCGAACGGATACCCAAATAATTGCCGACTTAGGAAAAAATATGAAAGCTATCGGTGATACGTATAAATCTTTGAGACGTGTTCGTACAAATCCGTTTATTCAATCGAATGCTTTACCAAACATCGTTTATATCGTTTAAATCGGTATGTCTGACCGCGCGCTGATTTGTACCACTAGTCTTCGTGAACTTTCGGCTTTGATAGAGAACGCGGAATCGACTATGCACGCCGAAAATCAAATTCAGCTGGTTAGCGAAGCGAACGAGAGGGATTTATATCATAAAAATTCTCTTTGTAGGAATTATCCGATTGCTGGCTGACCAGTGCGTTCCTTCTCTACTGACTGACCGCTAAAGCTTGTTTCCACTGGCGATTCGTGAATTGAACACATTTATTCCGTTTTTATTCTAACTCCCGTTATACAATATCATCCGCTATTCCATTTGTTTTCACAGGAAAAAAATAGAGTACTATTATATCTTCAATTGCTTTTTCATATTTCCATTGTAGTTTACGGTCCGCAATTTCAAATTTTAAATTATATGACCAAATTAATAAGTTCAAAAAATTTTAAATTACATTTCTAGAATTTCACATTTCTAAAGTATAGAATTACAGCACGTGAAAATAAAGCATGTTGGGTTATAACACGTAGAATTGAAACGCGTAGAAATGCAGTGCGTTGAATTACAGCGCGTGGAAATACAGTACGTCGAACTACAGCGCGTGGAATTATGATGCGTGACAATGCCACGCGTGGAATTACGCTGCGTGAGTATACTACGCGTGGAATTACGCTGCGTGAGAATACTACGCGTGGAATTACAGTGCGTGACACTACTACGCGTGGAATTACAGCGTGTGACACTACCACGCTTGGAATTATGGTGCGTGGAAACTCCACGTGTGGAATTACGATGCGTGACAATACCACGCGTGGAATTACAGCGTGTGACACTACCACGCTTGGAATTATGGTGCGTGGAAACTCCACGTGTGGAATTACGATGCGTGACAATACCACGCGTGGAATTACAGCGCGTGACACTACCACGCTTGGAATTATGATGCGTGCGTGGAATTACGGTGCGTGAGAATACCACGCGTGGAATTACGGTGCGTGAGAATACCACGCGTGGAATTACGGTGCGTGAGAATACCACGCGTGGAATTACGGTGCGTGAGAATACCACGCGTGGAATTACGGTGCGTGAGAATACCACGCGTGGAATTACGGTACGTTAATTCTTCACTACTACATGATACCGAATTTTTATGGAATGTATAAGGATAGAAAAGCAAGTAGACACGTCTGGTATTCTCATGGAAATTTTCAGCGATTCCCATAGATGTTGGTCAGGACCGCGGAGAAGAATGTTCGAGTATCGGGGCTTGCTGCAGAATGGGGTGTACGTAATTTATCGCAGACAATATTACCAGCGACGTTGAACGGCCTGGAAAACCTTCTGGCCCTGTCCGACAAGTATTTTATGGCTGCTAAAAATCGTATATTTTCGACTTTGCGTCGAAGAAAAAATGAAGCCGCGTAAGAGAAACATATCGAGTTTAATTTGAAACGATGAAGGAAGAAAATTATGTACAAGATAGGAATCAAAGCGTCAGATTCAGAATTTAACTTTTAATATCCTTAACAAACTATTTTCTACTTGAACTCGATTTATCGGGCCACGCGAATAGAATAATCGAAGAAGCTGTTTCGTAGTCGACGTAAGAAAACTCGACCTCGTTAAATTCTCGATTAACATAAATTTGATTAGCCTGAGGGGGTGAATTGTTTGACGGCGAGCTTATAAATCACCCAAGATGTTTTGCATTCGAACAAGGTAGATAATAAATAAGGAGCTCTTTGAGGAAGCGTTCTCGGGTAATAGCCTGCGCTCGTTATATTCTCTCGCAATGATCGATTCATTCGTTTAATGCTCCTCCTTTATTCTATTTCCGGACAAATATGTATTTGTCGCTACGTTGTTTTTTCTATGATTTACAGCTTCGGAAAAATAACTCGTGGCTTGATTCATTATATTTTACTCTTTGGACTATTATAACGAAGCGACGCACCGGGTGCGTCATGTATGTGTTCTTATTAATACCCCTCAATTATATTACCACGCATTAATTCCACGCGTGGTATTGTCACGCGCCATAATTCCATGCGTGGTATTCTTACGCACCGTAATTCCACGCGTGGTATTGTCACGCATCATAATTCCACGCGTGGAGTTTCCACGCACTGTAATTCCACGCGTGGTATTATCACGCACCGTAATCCCACGCGTGGTATTGTCACGCACCGTAATTCCATGCGTGGTATTCTTACGCACTGTAATTCCACGCGTGGTATTGTCACGCATCATAATTCCACGCGTGGAGTTTCCACGCACTGTAATTCCACGCGTGGTATTGTCACGCACCGTAATCCCACGCGTGGTATTGTCACGCATCATAATTCCACGCGTGGAGTTTCCACGCACCGTAATTCCACGCGTGGTGTTCTCACACACCGTAATTACACGCGTGATGTTCTCACGCACCGTAATTCCACGCGTGGCATTTTCACGCGCCATAATTCCACGCGTAGTATTCTCGCGCACCGTAATTCCACGCGTAGTATTGTCACGCATTATAATTCCACGCGCTGTAGTTCGACGTACTGTATT